CAATTTTTCGAACAGCTTGCTCAGCGCTGAGAGCAGGCTAATCGGTCTGTAGCTTGACGGTAGTGAAGGGTCTTTCCCAGGTTTGCGGATCGGGATGATTTTTGCCACCTTCCAGATGCTTGGAAAGTAGTGCAGCTCCAAGCATCTGTTGAGGATGGCAGCCAGCAGCGAGTGCACCCTCGCGCTGAGATTTTTCAACACTAGGTTGAATATTCCGTCAAACCCGGGAGCCTTCATGTTCGTACTGTGTTTCAGCGCTGAGCAAATTTGTTCCTCTGTAATCCGTTCTTCTTGAGGGACGGCACAAGGGGAGGCATCTAACGTCTGGACGCACTGCACAACCTGGTTCTCGAGTGGACTTGGGATTGTAGAGCCAAGCAAATGCGACTGGGCAATGTGCTCCCCAATTGCATTGGCCTTCTCTTCGTTGGTGATAAGCCGTTCGTCATTGACTCTAAGTGGTGGAATGGGCTTGGGGTGAGACTTCAGCACCTTGGCAACCTTCCAGAATGGTCTGGAACGGTCGTCCAGGTTCTGAACGAGCCGCCCGAAACTCTCGTTCCGGATTGAGACCATTCTGGAAGCGATCGGCCGATTCAGATCGACCATTTCGTATTTACGCTGCAGATCCCCAGTCCGCTGAAACTGGCGTCTACGAACATTTCTGAGCCGAATCAAGAGTTTGGTGTGGGAATCAATTGCTTGAAACTTACCCCTCACAGGAACTCGTCGAACGCACTCTTCGTCAGCCACGGATATGGCTTGATGGAGACCCTCCAGGGCCCGGTCGATGTCCTCCACTGTGTCGAGCGGTGGGTTGTCGTCGATGTGGCGGTCGACCACGCGTCGAAACTGGACCCAGTTGACTCGATGGTAGTCCTTCCGCTGGCACGGTGCAGGGGCCACTTTGTAGCCGAGCAGAGGCAGGAGAGTAGCGCTGATTTATATCTTTTCAGGTTCAAGCAGAATGATGTGCAACCAAGTGGTATTCGTTTATGATGACTGGGTTTGGGAAAAAGGCTTATTTCATGAAAACAGTGATAAAATTATCATTTGTACATTTTCAAAAGTTTAATTACAGAAAAATTGGAAAAAATATTTATTTCAGCTGGTTTGTAATGTAATATCCTATCGATTGGCGTATTTGGATTTAAACTTCATCTATAAATGACAAAGTTACAAGCGTTCAAAACCTAACACTCCTTCACCACACATATTTTTCTATTTGCACCCCAGTATAGTCGACAAAGACGTAGTTCTACGTCAAAAATCTGTTTTAGCTTTTAAAATCGATATTTTTGAAAAAGTGTTCATATCTCCATACAATATTTTCTTGCACGGAAAATGAATCTGGCTTATATTTGAGTCCGTTCACGCAAATTCTCAAAAGCGTAGGTCAATCATAGAATGATTCAATTTTTACTCAAATGTCAGTAAATGTCATTCATGTTTGAGTTATATGTACTCATTTGCCGTGCACTTGGTTTATACTGTGTAGCTCGACATTATCTTTTGCCTTGTCTCACTAAAAAACATGCCGAGATTCAGTTAATAAACGAGAGTATAAGTAAATACCTAACTAATCAGCGGTGCCAATCTTGGCAATACAGTTTATGTGTGTACGGCGTTTAAATTGTGTAAGTTTTTAACCGATTATACGGAAAAATTGTATTTTATGAGCTGTGACAATATTGCATGAAACCGACGAATTATCCATTTGAGCCAATTTGACAAAGACCATTGTCTTCTATCTAATGGAGATGTTAATTTAAAGCAGACAATTGGAGATCAAAAGTAAAACAAAATTTATAGTGGTGACACCTACAGTCCGGTTCAATAACTAAAAACGTGATGATAGATTTGTTTTTATTGATTGGAGGTGATACGGAACTACTGAAAAATACTTGTTAATTACTGCGAATTTCACGGCTTTCTATAATGGAACTAGGCGGAAATGGTAAAAAGCATATCAACTACTCTATCCAACACATTTGATATGCATTTTAGAGAATGATTTGATCGAAAATTGGAATCCTATTTTCAAATTTGCATTTGATTGAGGTTAAAACCTATCCATACATACGCAAGTGATACAAATCTAAAAATATTGAAACCCATCTTTAAAGTGAATGTATTCCAGCTGCTGAAGATCATGATGTGGATATTACCATAGCTGATATCTTGAACTACGTGGGATTATCCCGTCCGGTAAGATACTGGCAGGTAAAAAAACAAATTCGACGGTAAACTTCCTCTTAAGGGCAGGATTGGCGATCTACTTAAATAATGTGCGAAGTTCGGAGAAGCAAGCACCGAGTTTAATTTTCATCAGATCTGCATGACTTCTGAATGTTGAGATTAGTGCCCCTGAAAACGCTAAGTGGAAGGATTCCGTCAATAAAGTCCATTTAAGCACTTCTAGATTAGCTGTTGCTAATGGAGCGTTTCGTAGGCTCACACCTAGATGATGACGATTCCGGACATTTTATGAATCCCGGGATTCGGGAATACAGCAGTGGACTTTCCCGGGAATCGTGAATTTTGATTGCAGTAGTACAAACTATTACTATTACAAACTATTATTTTTTCGCATTTCAGATAACAACTACAAGATCAACTTTTAGTCCTTGCTTCAAGTTAAATCAGTCTGTTAACTTTTGCTGATATCACTTTGGCTGATCTTGATTCATCTTCATCTTAAGGTTGTAATCCTTAAGGTTCGAACGCTTCTTAACACAAAAGTTTGATGATGATGAGAAAACTCGCTCCCTTTCGGTCGAAGTTGGTCTAATGCTTTTCAGAAGCGAGACGAACAGGCTGCAAGCAACCTAACAGCGATTGTACTGCTTCTATGTCATCCTCTTTGACCGAGATGCTTGAGATTTACTGCCCATATTCGCATATCAGTCCCATGCTTTGCTTGATTTCCTATCCATATGGGACTGTTATGCGATTATGGGTAGTTTAGCTCACCGAGAGTTTCGACACGTAGAGTGTACTAGCAAAAACCTTTCAAGCATAGTTTGTACACTGTTCTATTTGATCTTTACATCCAATAAAAGTTCCAATTCCTTTCCATGAACTTTCGAAATATTTGTTTGAAGAAGTCCATTTTTCAAAGGAGAACGTTTAAAACGCTTCACTATATGTCTGATACGCAACTAAATCGATTTGACTATAGGATTCAGAGCCTGATTCATCAGAACTTAGATCAGAACTGGAATCAGTATACTGCACAACAAGTTCGACTTCAGCTGAGTCTTTATAAAGAACGTCGGAAACAGCCAAATGAAAGCCATGGTTGTAGCATGTTTGATGCAGTTAATCTGTTAGAGAACCAAACTTGAGCATTACCTTCGCACCATCTGTGGTTGACCCAATGACATCTGCGCTGGTCAAATCGAATTCTACCAATTTCTCCTGAATCAAATCAACTATATGTTTAACAGTAAAGTTAACATTCAGATATCTCCTGATTTGAGACTAGTCCCTTTCGTCTAGAGTGAGACTGAATTTATCAGCACGGTTCAGTTTGAATCTGCTTGATAACCTGTTTTCAAATCAAAACAAACATGTTGAACTTTGTATTTATCTTAAACAATGTTACATTTTACCTACTTTTTGGCATCTTTTTGAAGTTCCGAATCAGATTCATCACGTTTGTCCTACCAGTGGGAAAAAAAATCATCTGCTCTAAAGCGATTGGCGGATGAAAGTACTTTTCTCGATTCCAGCGATCGAGAATCCATCAAGAGCAGCGAGCCTCGCAACTATCTCAGATTGTTCTTTGCGTTTTAGGTGGTCTGACAAACTTGATTGTTTTACTGTTTTCAAACCTTTCGAAGAGCTCGGCTGTTGCTGGGATTCTGATGGTCGTTTCAAGTTTATGTTTTTGAGCTGATTCCAGATGTCGAATCAGTCCGGATGTACTGCATCCCTTGCAATCCAGCTCTTTCGAACAACGAGAACACAATGCCTTGTTTGCCGAATGTTTGGTAAAATGCTTAGAAAACTTCTGACATTGTATCCTGATATAAACAACGAATGAAAATCGTTTCTCTTGATAGATGAAATTTGCAAAAAAATACGATTTTATCGATCCTCTTTTTGAAAATATGCTTTGTTATAGCAGCAAATTGAAGAATTCCACCCCTAACACGCAAATAACTTCGAGAAAATCCTGGGAATCCAAAATGGTGAAATTAGTAGATTTGAAGGGAATTTTTCCCGGGAAATCCCGGGAGTCACCCTCTATAAACACCTGTTACAAACCTTAAACATAGTCATTTAATGTACTTTTATTTGCAATCCAAATGAAGCATTTCCGGATGATGTGCAATTTTGAGCCATCAGGTCCATGTGTTGAATGGTTGCGATATCCTACGCAGGTGTGGAAGCAGCCTTCCTGCACATTCAATTGCCGTCAATGGATGGCAATCGATGTGCATCGGTGACTGGCACTAGATTGCGGAACAGAGCGATGTTAAGTGGACCCTACAAGATTGCTTTTATTGACAATATTCGGTCTCATAGCCTAGTCAGTAAAGGCACGGTATTACCAAGCCGGAGGCGGCGGGTTCGATTCCCGGTCCAGTCGAGGGAATCTTTCGGGTTGGAAATTTTCTCGACTTCCCTGGGCAATAGAGTATCATTGTGCTTGCCACACAATATACAAATTCATGCATTGGTATTAGGCATCGAAAGCTCTCAATTAATAACTGTGGAAGTGCATTTAGAACACTAAGTTGAGAGCACGCAATAAGCTAATCTGCACTATGCAATAAGCTTGAAATGCGAATAAGAAGAAGAAAGTCGTATTGTCAATACATTCTATATTGACAATATTACTGTATTCACACCATCAATATTATTGTCAATAATTCGCCTTCGCGTCAATATATTGATACGTGTGGGGTTGGCTTGAAATGCGATAAATAAAAGAAAGAAGAAGAAGGAGAGCCATCAATAAAATTCAACCCTTTCTTTTCGTCCCTTTCCAGATGCAAACGCCAGGCTTCAAGCTACAAATCGGAAACACCAACATTATGTCTCTGCAGCAGAAATTTATCGGTCCGTTAAATCAACAGCAACCCCAGGGTCCCCCATCCATGACAATGATTCAACCCAGTCCGATGAGCATCCCCGGCCCTGCCGACCTGAAGCGTCTTCCATCATCAATCAAAATACTGAAACCCATCGCTCCGAAACCCGGTATCACCAATTACACCAGCACGGTCATCAAACCGGCCCAGGAAAGCGCCATCCAAGCGGCCTCGCCAGGAGCTTCGAGCGTTTGCCATCACGTACTTCCATTTGGGACGACTATCAAGGTCACTGCCGGCAATGAACAACTTCCAATTCCCATTTCGAAATCACAGCAGATCATTCAACCTCCATCGCTGATCCAACAACAGGCACAGCTTCAACCACAACAATCACAGCTGTCCCAAATGCAGCCAATTCAACAACCTCAATCTCCACAAGCATCCGCTCTCATCAAACAGATCCGTCCGGTTTCACCGGCCACGATGTCACCTCAGCAAAGCGCCGTTCTCTCACCCAATCAGAACAAAGTTATAATCAACAAAATAATCTACAAACCTCCGGAAAGTCATCTGGGACCGGGCCCAACCGCAGGACAACCCCGCATAGTTGCTGCTACTCCCCCGCTTTCACCGGTATCGCTCCCGGACCTGAAGCGTAAAATCATCATTACCAACAGCGCTAACCGTAAGCGACTAACATCGCCAGCACAGTCACCAACATCGATTCCACAACGCACGACCAGTATTCAACCGACCCAGACCCAGATCATCGTTCAAGCTGCGAGTCCGACTCTTCCGTTGGCTCCATCACTGGCAGCAGCAAGAACCACTATCGACAACATTCCAACCACCATGCACGCTGTCATTACCTCCTGCAGCAGTAGCAATATAACCGTTACGCCGATGATAGTTGAACCAACGGTTTCGTTGATTCAGGAAGAAAGACCCCAATCTACTATGGAAGAGGAACCGAAACAACCGGACGAGCTGCCCGAATCGTCCGAACCTTCCTCGGATAGGGAAAATCAGAGCTCGTTCGAAGAGATTAACAAAACTATTTCGCAATCTAGCTCGCAAGTAGATGCATCGGAAACTGAGGTCTCTTCGACGACCACCGAGCAGATGATGATCGGCGGAGAAGATCCGGAGAATAAAGATGAATCCCACGATGACGAACTAGATACAGGTGAGCACATGGAGATGGAAATGTTGGAAAGCTCACAAGGGTCAGTCTGTTCGGAGGCGGTTGATGATAGTATAAAGATGGATGAAATGGAAGAAGAAAATGAGGTGACAAAGGAAGATAGTATAATACAAGAGTTGAAGGAAGGATTGCATACTCCGACAAAGAAGCAAGACGAGGTGTTGGACGAGCTACTTGAGGATCAGCTAAAGAGTCCTCGACTACTGAAGAGAGCCAATTCAGACAGCCAACAGGTGTCGAGCCCGGTTCGCGCTCGTCGGCTCTCGGAACCACCCAAGCCAGATGAAGTCCCAAAGGAGGACGATGATATTCTTCCGATGCCAAAGCCGTTGGCAATCATTAAGAAAACCAGGAAAGGCAGGAGTTCCGTCAGCAGAAGAAGTCGATCGTCCAAGACTATCCACTCGTCGCTTCTTTGTAATGAAAAGTTGGAAACGGAGTCGGATGAGAGTCGTAGCATTAAGACCTCTGCGTCCAGTTTGCATACGATTAGCCCTCCTAAAAAGGAAGAAACCTCGGAGTCACCTCCAGCTTATGATCAAGACAAATTGCAGGCTGCGATCGAAATGTACAAGAAAAAGCAATCCATGGTCAAATCTCAGAGTCATCGGGAAAAAAGTCGATCGGAATCACGTTCCGTTGCGGATCGTGAAGAGAAGGAAGAGAAGGACTACATCGAGGGAGATTTCGGTTCGACGCCATCGGATCTTATCAAATGGAACGATGGAATAGGTTACATGCGTAACAGCTATCTCCACTTTCAGTTCAACCAATTTGGTTTGGTGGAACCGATGGAAATCAAAGAGTACTTGAAACATGTGAACACGAATGTGTACGAAACTCTCAAAGATCCGGTGGCAAGCCGAACAGCTGTTAAAGCGGCTCGGAAGAAACGCAAGACATTGAATACTGACGGGTCATACCACTGCAAAGGTTGCCGCGGTCGTGGAACTGCCGGTGACTTTGCCACTCCAGAATACTGTTCGATTGCTTGCATGAAGAAAACCAAAAACGAATCCTTACTGACGAGCATTGAATATTCCAAATCACTTCAGCGGAAGGGTATCGGATCCTCCGAATCGTCAGCATCCACCAGCACACCACTTCCAACGAGCGACGACGACTCGCTGGGAAGTTCCCTCAATTTCGCAAACGCTTTCAAAGAGAAGAACGTTATCCCACCGAAGGAGAGCGTCCCCAAAACTATCGTTCAGGAAGTGCAACCAACCGCGGAGCAACCGAATCAGCCCAAATTTGCGTGGGAGGTTTACCTGTCCAAAACGCAAGGCACCCCATCGCCGTTGAATTTGTTCGTGAATCCTTACCCGGGTGGACCAAACAAATTCCGCACCGGAATGAAGCTGGAGGCCATTGATCCGGAAAATAATTCGCTCTTTTGCGTGTGCACCATCGTCGAGGTCCGAGGCTATCGGTTGAAGCTGACCTTCGACGGATACTCGCGCGATTACGACTTTTGGGTGAACGTGGATTCTTTGGACATCTTCCCTCCCGGGTGGTGTCGAAAGACGGGCCGAGTACTGCAGCCACCCCACGGATACGATGGCGACTTCAGCTGGATGAAGTATCTTACCGAAAAGCGAGCAATGCCCGCCTCTCGCAACCTGTTTACGCATCTCAACTCGCCGGTAAGTACCTGCCACGAAAGAAGGCAACGATTATTTTCTCGTTCATTTGATTAGTAGATTGTAAGCTGGGGTAAGACACACCCGGGGGCAAAATAACGTTTTTACCTCTTGTTCGAGGATCTGTTAAGGAACATTGCTAGTTCAATGTCTGAACGAGCAATGCTGCATGATAAACCCACGAAAATATATTGAAAAGGTATTCAAAATTTGCAAAAAAAATCATCTTACCCCGGGGGTGCATCTTACCTACTGGCCATTCGGCTATTTCGATATCGATGGTTGATTTTGCTTTTGTTACGTTATCTACACAGTGCAAGAAAATTATTCCTAACTCACATAATTTCGCAAATTTCCAGTCTAACGAAAACAAATTCCAAATTGGCATGTGTCTGGAAGCCGACGATCTGAAGAAATCCGGCAAGGTATGCGCAGCTTCGATCACGGACAAAATCGATAATCGCGTACTGGTCCATTTCGATGGGTGGGATGAGCGGTACGACTATTGGGTGGATATCCATTCGCCCTACATTCACCACACCGACTGGCACCATGAGAATGGCTACAACATCACTCCACCTCCAGGTTTGTTACTATTAACGACTTTTTAACTTGTAAGAATAATTAAAATAAATCTCAAATTCATACAGATTGGAACAAGAGTGATTTTGAGTGGGTCAAGTACATCCGTCTGAAGTCACGTCGCATAGGAAAGGCCATCATTCCGGCGGATCAGTCGCTGTTTGCCACGCGACAACCGATGGAATTCAAGCCGGGCATGAAGTTGGAAGTTGTTGACCGCAAGAACCAGATGCTTATTCGACCGGCAACGGTTGTGGCCACCGATGGCTATGAAATTAAAGTTTGCTTTGACGGGTGGCCCAATTTCTATTCGTTCTGGATCGAAGACGACAGTTCGGATATTCACCCGATGAACTGGTGTAAAAGGACCAATCACCCGATCGAATTTCCACCAGGTAAGTCGCAGACGTTTGAAACGTGAGTGAAGATTTCAAATTGGCCCATCCTTAATTTCAGATCATCGACCGGCTTCAATCAACAGCTCCTGCGAAGGTCCTTACTGCCTGGGTCAAGGCAATGCCAAAATTCTGAGCAAATCATATCATACACGTCTAGCGGAGTGTCCCTACAGAACCAACAACTGGCTGCTGGAGGATAGGAAAAAGCCGCGGCTAGCTCATGAGTACGTATTTACGCTAGAAATCAAAGCAACAACGATATTCTAACAACCCATTCTCATTTACAGGCAAGTCGTCACGCAGAACAATTTCAGCACCCTTCAGGAACCCCTTCCTCAGGAGGCTCCTCCTGCGAAGAAAATCAAAAAGGAACTTGACGAACCTCTCCCGGCACCGAATGCGCACAATCCACAGTCCATTTCTATGCCATCGCTAGGAAATGTCCAAAAAACAACCCCCTCAAATGGCAACACTACCACCACTCTAGATCCGTTGCTGAAGACGGCCTTACCGGTAATAGCCGACTTTGGTCCTCGGTTGAAACAGTCCTACAAACTGTGGAAGACCAGCAGTAGGATCTTGGATCGCTGCACGGATAGTATGTCCGGCTATGACCGAAATCCCCTCTGCTGGTCCGTGGAAGATGTTGCCTCCTACGTAGAACGGTTCCCCGGCTGTACTTTCGTAGGAAATCAGGTACGAGAGGAGCAAATCAACGGAACGGCTTTCCTGAGTTTGACACAGGAAGATCTGGTAAAATATCTGGACGTTAAACTTGGCCCGGCGATCAAGCTGTATAACCGGATAATACATCTCAGGCTGGAAGTGGAAAAGCATTTCATAAAATTCTAAGAATTAGGATTTTGAAGTCGTAGATTCCAATAATGTAGTGGTTCGTAAAACTAGCATAGCAATTGCCATTTTTTCTAGGAGTACGGTGGTCAATCCGAGCTTACAAGCGATTAAGAGTAAACAATATCTAGATTCTAGATTTGCTAGCAAACCGCACTTTGCTCATTTCGGTTTGCTCGATTTGTAAATAGTCAGTTTAATGTTTCCCTTTTCTGGATATTGAATGAACATATTCATTATGTCAAGAAATAAAGATTCAATTAATTATTGCTAAAGTTTTTTTTTATTAGATAATATTACTGGTTAATTTTTCACTGTGTTTATCCGAAACTCCGTTACCGTGAAATGCCATAATTTCGCACGGTGCCCAATATTTTATACCTAGTGTATTGTGATAAATATTTATATAAATTTATGTTTTTCCCTTACACTAGCCTTTTAATACTTATCTACGTATTCAGCACAATTTAAAATATCCACTTTACTGTTACCTCATGGAAGGGAAATAAAAAAATTTGTGAACTGCCTATAATCGCATTACGATAGGCGATTTCCATGTAAATATTTGAAAAACCATAGTAAATGTATTCCCTCCCCTTGACTAGTTTTGCACCTTGCTGCTGGTGGGCGGGCTTGACTTCATGCTTCACAATGGAGTGTTGGAAACGGTAGGTTTATGGCCGGCGTTGCTGGCTCATGCCGCGATAGAATGGCGCCATGGGCAGGTGATGGGGATTACTAAGCTTCCCCTCTCTGATGAACCATTGTATGAGAGAACCCAAAGATCTAGTCTGGCAGTGATAGTATCACACTTGTTATTCCTTTGTTTGAGAGGCGTATCGTAGTACGCTTCCCAAGTAACATTGCAAGTTTTATTGTGGATTTAAAGCATTCTACAGGTCTAAATCATGGTCTTCAGAATCCTTATAAAACCCAAATTGTTACTTGGGTTACGTGTAGGCACTGACGTTCAGGGTTGCCAAAAGGATATCTGTGTATTTGTTTAAAAAAAATCTTTTCATCTTAGTTTTTGTCCAGAAAATCTGTGATGATATCTGAGTTGATAATTTATTAATTGAATCCTTAAAAATGTCATTTATTTTTTGTTGTTTACATCAACAGGCTGGATGAAGCCCCAATGATTTTAACCTTATCAACTATGGTAAAAAAAATACATTCACGCATGGTCATAACATAAAAAAACATTAAAAAACGTATATCTTATAGTCAATATCTTAACTCCTGCCGACGAAAAACAGAATAAAACTTTCGACCAAGCGCATCACGGGAGAGATGAAAGTCGAAAACAGATGCAACTCTGTTGAATGTTCTCTGCAGTCCGCAAATCTCACCGTCCGCTCCATAATTTGTGCAACGTAGAGGCAGTCTTAGCATAAGGTTATTTCGATGCGGTCGGGGTTGTACATTAAGGTCAATTTGCCTCAGGATAACCTTACAATCTGTCCTTCCTGGTAGGATATCGGCCACGGTTAGGGCTCTGTTTGTGTCTCTTCTAGTCCGGAGAAGTTCTAGGTCGATAAGTTGACAACGGTATCGTAACTTGGTAATCGAAACGGATCGTTCCAAGGCAATCTACGCAACGCAAAACGAAGAAAGCGACGTTGAACAGATTCAATTCTCTCGGCACCGTTGTTGTAGTTTGGGTTCCAAACCGCTGAACAATACTCAAGCGTCGATCGAACAAGCGAACAATAGAGAGATTTTAGACAGTAGATATCAGTGAAGTTTTTAGCTATCCTAAAAATGAACCCTAAAGACGCCTTATCAACAACATATGCAATGTGTTGCTTGAATGAAAGCTGCGAATTCAAGATCACACCCACGTCTTTCACCTGATTCACGCGTTCGATTGTCGAGCCAAGCAGGTCATTGATCAGTTCACGAAGATTTGCCGCACTCTTCTCTCACCCGTAAGTTTTGACAGTTTTGGGTGGTTTGTTTTGGCTCCCATTCGTTGCTATCTCTTTTACTCAGAAGCAAAATGATAGGGAGCAAAAAGTGAGGTTAGGGACCGTGCACTGATCTATAGCTAAATATTATCGGTTGTTGTTTTCGTGAGAACGTAATAGCGGAGCATTTGGCTGGGTTCACTACCATTCTGTTCAACCTGCCCAACTAGCGAATACATTCAGTTGACGTTGAAGAAAGTGACAGTCAGCAATGGAGCAGATTCGTAGGAAGATTTTGAGGTCATCTGCATATTTTTTTTTTTATCTAGTTCGTTTATTTGGGAGGCTCAATCGCGTTAGCTTTACGGAGCCGATAATTCATTGTTCACTGTGTGTAACAAAATTCACTTAATTCTATGTCTAGTAGGAGTTGGGCCGATTACTCGCGGCTTACTCGAGGTTAGAAGGGTACATTTTCGAAGGATAGGATCAGGGGAGGAGCTTGGGGTAGGGTTTCGTTGTCTCATCAGAGCGTTGTCGCCAGTATGAACGGTAGTGCTGTTCTAGCTTCGTCCGGAGTTCGACCGGCTATGGTGGGTGACCAGTGGGCGACGATGAGACTCATCGAGACGGGGGGACAAGACAAACAAAAACTAATAAAGAGAGACAAAAGACAAAAGGAATTAAATTCTTATACTAGACATTTGAAGAAAAACATAAACGGACTGCATATAGCAGAGATCACGGGTTGCCAACACGTCTCTGATAGGAACATAGGGTTGTCTTCCTTGGGCCTCGAGGGTATTCAAAAGTCGCTCTCTGGCGGCGTCATTATCCGTACATTGCCAAACTGCGTGTTCGATGTCATCGTAACCGTTTCCACACCGACAGATGTTGCTGTCCACGAGGTTTATTCTATTGAGATGAGCATCTAGCGAGTAGTGGTTGGACATAAGTCTACTCATCACGCGAATGAAGTCACGACTTAAGCCCAAGCCTTTAAACCACGCTCTCGAAGAAACATTAGGAATAATTGAATGTAACCACCGTCCAAGATTTCCAGTGTCCCAATCGGTTTGCCAACTCGAAAAGGTACTCTGACGCACTAAATGGTAAAATTCATCGTGTGAAATTTGCCTGTCATACAATTCGCCTTCCTGCGCGCCCACCTTTGCGAGAGAGTCCGCCTTCTCATTGCCTGGGATTGAGCAATGTGAGGGGACCCATACAAAGGTAATCATATATGATCTTTCGACCAGCACACACATCTGCTCCCTTACCTTTGAAAGGAAATAAGATGAGTGCCTACCTTGTTTCATCGACCGAATAGCCTCAATCGAACTGAGACTATCCGAGAAGATGAAGTAATGGTCTGTGGGCATATTGGAAATCATCCCCAATGCGAAGTTGATTGCTGCCAGCTCAGCAACAAAAACGGAACAAGGTTCCTGAAGTTTGCGGAAGGCGCTAGAGTTTTCATTGAAGACACCGAAGCCAGTGGATCCATTGAGACGGGACCCGTCTGTAAAATATCTTTTCATGCAATTGACTTGTTGGTACTTTTCAGTAAAAATACGTGGGATAATAATAGGTCGAAGTTGATCGGGAATCCCATGAGTTGCTTGTTTCATGGTCAGATCATATTCAATTGAGGAACTGCGATTGGTGAAGTGAACACGGTCTGGAGTATAACAAGGAAGACACATATCTGATGATATGTAGTGGTGGTAGATTCTCATAAATCGAGATTGTGTGTTCAGCCCAAGAATTTCTTCAAAATTAGCAATTATAAGTGTGTTCGTCACTCCGCATTTGATTAGTATTCTGAGAGAGAGCTCCCAGAAACGGTTCTGGAGGGGTGTTACTCCTGCCAGAACCTCGAGACTCATGTTATGCGTTGAGTGCATACAGCCTAGAGCAATACGCAGACAACGATATTGAATTCGTTCCAATTTTATTAGGTGACTTTTTCTTGCCGAGAGAAAGCAGAAAGAGCCGTACTCTAGAACAGAGAGAATAGTTGTTTTATAAAGCGTTATGAGGTCTCCCGGATGAGCACCCCACCATGTGCCGCAAATTGAACGGAGAAAGTTGATCCTCTGCTGACATTTTTGCTTCAAATACGTAATATGGGCATTCCAAGTGCACTTTGAATCAAACCAGACCCCAAGGTACTTGAAAGACAATGATTGAGTAATGTTTCTGCCCAAAAGATTAAGATGCATTTGGGCTGGGTACCGCTTTCGAGTAAACACTACCAGTTCAGTTTTCTGCGGCGAGAATTCGATCCCTAGATTCATAGCCCAAGAAGACAAGTTATCTAAGGAATTTTGCAATGGTCCTTGCAAGTCCACGGCATGTGGACCTCTTACGGAAACCACACCGTCATCTGCAAGTTGTCTTAGCGTGCATTGTTCTGCCAAACAGTTGTCGATATCTTTGACGTAAAAGTTATAAAGAAGAGGGCTGAGACATGAGCCTTGGGGCAGGCCCATGTAGCTAATTCTGGAAGTTGTCAGTTGTCCAAGGGAAAAGTTCATTTGCTTTTCTGACAACAAATTGTACAAGAAATTATTTAAGATTCCAGAAAGTCCACATCTGTGCAGATTGTCTGACAGAATTTCAATGGAAACTGAATCAAAAGCCCCCTTAATGTCCAAGAATACTGAAGCCAATTGCTCCTTGTGTGCAAAGGCCAGTTGAATATCTGTGGAAAGCAGCGCTAGACAATCGTTTGTTCCTTTGCTCTTGCGGAACCCAAATTGTGTATTTGATAGCAAGTTATTTGATTCGACCCAGTGATCGAGTCTCCGAAGGATCATTTTCTCCAACAATTTCCTAATGCACGAAAGCATAGCAATCGGACGGTATGAGTTATGGTCAGACGCTGATTTGCCAGGTTTTTTAATGGCTATTACTTTGACCTGTCTCCATTCAGGCGGTACAATGTTGTTTTCTAGCAAGGAATTGAATAAATCTAGCAAGCGTCTTTTAGCGATATCTGGGAGATTTTTCAGAAGATTGAATTTAATCATATCGCTTCCCGGTGAGGAGTTGTTCGATGAAAGAAGAGCCATAGAGAAATCCAGCATTGAGAATGGTCTATCCAGAGAGCCGCCGCTAGGAGACGCTTCTCGAAGAATATTTTGTGCTGGAACTGAGTCCGGACAGACCTTTTTAGCGAAATCGAATATCCATCGGTTGGAGTATTCTTCACTCTCATTGAAAGATGAGCGGTTACGCATGTTGCGAGCCACCCTCCACAAGGTGTTCATGGAGGTTTCTCGTGAGAGTCCCTCGACGAAATTGCGCCAA